ATTGCCTGGCACTGGGTCCCAGGAGCTAGTGGAGGATGAGAGAAGGGAGGGGGAAGTGGGAGGGACATGCAGCTGAGCATGATGAGCAGTCACCTGCAGGTGAGCAGGTGGAGGCGGCCTGGAGGTGAAGCCCTGCACAGTGACACAGGAGATGCCCAGCTGAAACTCCCCCCCCTGCTTGGAGTAGTGCAGCAGGGGCAGGACCAGGAGGAGGAGCCGCCACTGGAGGTGAGAGTAGTAGAACAGCCCTGCCAGCCCAAGCCCCAGCCAGTATGCACAGCTTCTAGTGCGGCTGTTCCCAGTGCAACTGCAGCTAGCTGGGTGCTGCTCTGCTCCTCACCTCCAGGAGGTGGGTAGAGGGGAAGAGACTTCAGCCAGGCATCTCTTGTGGAGGTGAGGGGAGCAGAGCAGGACCAGGAATAGTCCATCGGAAGCTGTGCATACCGGTCAGGGCCCTAGCCAGTGGGTGGGCTGGATCTGGTCAGTTGACAGACCAGATCTTGCCTGTGGGCTGTATTTTTTCCCACCCCTGCACTATAGCTACTGTGGCCCCAGAAAATGTGGGAGGGTGAAGGGGGGCCCACCACAGCCAGTTCATTATTTACCTACCGTAAGCAATTACATATCATGATTCAAGTCCCCAACATCGTGAGGCTGGCTGAAAAATCAAGGCACTCTACAGATAGCAAAGGCCATCCTTTTGTTTGTCTTCTGTTCTTTGAATACTTTGGGGTTTATGGTATCGAACCTTCCTCTGTAAATATGAGGGTCAGAAACTTCATTTTGTGGAAATCTCAATTGTCATTAAAAATTATCTGCAAGAGACTAAGATTAACTCTAAATATGATAAAACATAAAACTAATTCCTAAGAGTTGGTAACATTAGGAGTTGCAGTATTTCTTTACAATGCAGTTTTGGGGCGTATATCTAGGTTATCTTTGCTGATCGAACATCAGGCCAGGTCTGATCCTCCATGCTTGCTATTCAAGGAGTACACAGAGATTTACTACCCTTTTCCCCCTGGATTTTGCAAGTTATCTGTGTT